TCCATCAGTGTGTGATTTATGAACTCCTTCATCCATGAATTACAACAAACAAAGAACATAACGACAGATTTTTAAGTAATAATTATATGTTTAATGAACCAATGAACAAAATGTTATATTATGCAAAAACTATAAAATACAATAAACAAATATTATAATAAAATGTGGTACCATCCAAAACCCCATGCATAAACAAGAAAACAGCATTAAATAAGCAGTCACAATGCATGAAAGGGTTAAAAACAAAACAAAACATTGTAACAAAAATGTGCAATTACAATAAAAACTACGTAATAACACTGTAATGACACTATTAATGAGTTTTAGGTGCATTAAACTGCATTTGAAAATAGAAAATACAATTTAGTGTCAAAACATTGGCAAAAAAACAAAACAATTGTAATAATAAATAAATTATAAATTGCAATAACACTAACAAGTAATAATAAGAGCACTTTAGCACTCAATTTAGTGTGAAACGTGTGCTTGTCCTTCACTGAGGATCTTGGTCATCCTTGGTGGCAGAGAGGACACAGCAGTGATCAGACTCTTTTCCAGGCCCAGTCTGTTTCTCTGCTTTGTTTTGATCAGAGTCATTGCGGAGAAGGAGGCCTCACACAAATATGTGGATCCAAAGGGCAGTAGCTGCTCCAAAGCTGTTTCATCCAGCTCAGGATGCTCCTTTTTCACACACACCCAAAACTGCGTGAGAGTGGAGTTTTCAAATGTCATCTTTAGGCCGCGGTCAGATGACACATCCAAGAGTTTTTCCTGGTGACAGAGAGGAAGCTTTTCTCTGTTTGCTTCTGACAGAAGAAATGGGTTTCTTACCCAATCAAGCTGTGCAGGTTTATCCTCCATGTCAGGAAAGTACGACATGAAACTAACTATCAGGTTGGCCAAGTGTTCCTCTATAATGGACTTGACTGGAGCGCTCTGCACATCCTCACTGGAGAGGAAAGCATCTACCTGAGGAAAGCAGGTGAGATCCCCCTGTGCACATGCCCGTTTCCACAACTCTGCTTTCTTTACGAAACCACCCACCTTGTCATACAGGTTCAGAATGTTGGTGTTCTTGCCCTGCATGCACACATTCAGCTCATTCAATTTGCTGAATATGTCTGCCAGATAGCAAAGCTTTGCAAGCCAATCTGTGTCCTCAAACAGTGTGGCATAGGGAGATCCTTGCTCTGACAGAAAGGTGTGCACCTCCGATCGTAGCTCCAACAGCCTGCTCAGTATCCTCCCCTGAGAGAGCCAGCGCACTTCTATGTGCAGAGCAGTAGTTGGGTGTGTTCAGCTCCCATGTCCTCGCAAAGGCGGTGAAACAGACGCGCATTGAGTGGCCTTGACTTTATGAAGTTAATCACTTTGATGCTGTTGTTGAAAACGTCATGCAACACAGGACTCAGCTTTTTGGCCGCCAGTGCTTCCCTGTGTATGACACAGTGATTCCACTGCACTTCTGGATTTTTATCCCTAATTCGTGCCATGAGCCCTTTAAATCGGCCCGTCATTGAGGCAGCTCCGTCAGTAAACACTCATGCAGTTTCTCCAGTCCAGCTCGTTTTCAATAAAGAAATCATTCACAACGTTAAAAATTTCCTCCCCCGTTGTTTTCCCCTCTAAGGTCTTGCAGAAAAGCACATTTTCATAAATGTCGTCAGTATCCACGTATCTCACGAAAGCAATGAGCTGAGCCTTACCGCTGACATCGGTCGATTCATCAAGCTGGAGTGAAAATGTTTCGCCAAGTTTTCCCACAACTTGTTCAACAATATCTGATCCCATTCGTTCTATTCTGCGTGAAACGGTGTCATTAGAAAGCATCTAATCCAGCATCGTCTCGGCCAAAACAACAGCAGCTGGGAGTAACAGGTCCTCAGCAATCGTGAACGGCTTTTTGGCTTTAGCGATGAGCAGTGATACCGCATACGATGCCTCCAGTGCTTTGGCTGATGTTGTGGAGGCTTTTCGCATAATCTCTTGGGAGGATCTATACTCAGCAAGTTTTCTTTTGAAAAACTCTGGTGGCTTACCAACGTGACAAGCATTTGTCTTATTAACCTTTTTTATTGTTTTCTCTCGCGTACCCCCTGCAGTACCCCCACGTACCCCTAGGGGTCCGCGTACCCCCATTTGAGAATCACTGCCCTAGACGACCGCCTATGAATCGGCCCTGCCTAGTACATACAGTGGCAATGTCTCAAGATTTAGCAAAAATACACCTTTATTGAACATACAGTAACACAAATACTACAAATCCACATAACAAACAATCAAAAATGAAAAAACGCCACTTATTATTATTTAATTTTTTTTTTTTTTTCGGTACCTGGCTGGCGCCCCCTAGCAGCGACGCGCATATCTGATATCATGATCTGTTTGGTATTTTGAGCAAAATACTTCATAGACATGTTTTTTATATATTTGAGACCTATGCTATTGCCTAAAAATAGCATGATAGGTGCACTTTAAGCTAAATACTTACATATTCTCATATGGAAATGTTTAAATAATTATTAATAAGATTACTATGGTGTAGTAAAGTAAGCACAATTCAAAACATTTCTTTCTGTGATGCTGCACTATTTTACTGTTCTTAATTAGTGCTAGGCAACGATAAAAAAATGATTTTCTGCAATTAATTCAATAATGAATTCAAAAGTAGTGTATAGCGCACTTTTGATTTTAAAAGTACTGCTATGAACAAATGTGCAATAAGATTTGGTTTGAAAAAACACTTTAAACAAATAAGGTGCTTTTTAACAGCAGTATTCCCTTCACACAGTAGCAGGTAAAATATTTATTGTAAATCTCAACTTCAAGAATCTTAGGCCCGCCCCAAATGCTCTCATTGGTTGAAACGCCTGATGACGCCCATCCTAAGCCAATACTGATCAACATCCCAGCCCTCCTGTGACCCATGGTTTGTCTGTATGTGTATTCAGAGCCAGTGAGCAACAGACTTTCAAAATAATAATAATATTAATTAAATAAACAGTTTATTATTTAATGGGTTAGCGCAGTAATAATGTGTTTACTTGCCCAGCCCTATTCTTAATACAATATATTTGTACAATTTTGATTTATCACACCAGCATCACAGTTGAATGTGGTCAGATATGGCTTGTTTTTATCTGCGACCACATCCATCAGTGATGTAGTGTTGTACTCGACTGCACATTGTATGCAGAAGCTGCTTCTTGGCAGTACAAGCTGGATATCCAGCCTGTATATAGTTTATTTAATTGTTTTGTTATGCAGTGTGCCTTAAATGTGTATCATAAATAATTCAAACAGACTTATCCATCTGTTCTCTTAAAAGGTTGCCACCTTTCTCTATATTCAATGATCAAACTTCGAGTTGTATGTTAAACTCTGAAATCCAAAGCGCCTGACCTGAGCAGATGCTACTGGAAGATGAGTTTCCAGCTGCATATCTTTATCATTCGTGTTTTGTTGTGCCATATGTGCATACAAGCCGAGCAAAACGGGTTTATTTATCATAATTTACACACTTTAAATATTGTTAGAAAAAAACATACAAAATGTGCATTTTAATATACCAAATAACATGGACCTCTTTAAAGCTCCGCCCACACAGGTGTTCTCACGTGTCTGATGAGACTTCTGTCAGGGTTCCTGTACAGCCTGCGCTTGATTGACATCTCTGACTCTCGTATGTCCACACAAAGCTCCGCCCACCTTAAACCTGAGCAGAGGTCTAATCAGAACAAATCGTTGAAAACACCTGTGTTTCATTTAACACTAAAAATAAAGGGGGTACACAAATGTATACTTTGACTGATGTGAATGCATCTTAAGAAATAAAGAACTAAACCAAATAATAAATTAAACACAGACCAAAAACGAATAAATGTCAGAAAAAAAGTTGATATTTTGTCGAATACATATCTATGTGGAATTAAATGTCTTACCTAAAACTGTTAATAAGTTTTAAAATCCACAGTTAAAGGCTGGGTTAGATCAATGTTGTTGTAAAAAGAATAAAAAGCAGTTAGAAAGACACAAGCCTTTAACACAAAGCCTTACAAAAATATTAAAGAGTAAAAACAACAAATATGTATGAACCAAAACTGGAAAAAATATATATATTTTGAACAAAAGAGATTATTGAACTAAATGCATTGTTTTTCAACCAGAAAAAGTTTGGTTAGGCATGCACTTTGACAGAACGTGCCACAGATGCAACTGTTATCGGCCTGACTCATTTTAATTCATTACTTGTTGCAGACAATCTTTAATCTGTCCTAGGATTTGGTGAAAAGGTCATGGTTTAGATTGTTAAAATAAAATATTTCGTGATTTTAAGTGATTTACTGAACCAGAAACTTACATGATATCAAAATTGGAGCATGCAATACTCCGAGATACCGTCCTCGAAGAACCATAAACCATAAACCTGGGACTGACTAGTGCTAGCCGACCAAATGGCCTCACTGTGACTCTGCAGCTGACGATTGGTTAGGGAAATGTGAAGCTTCGTCAGAAACCTCAGTTTGCTTTTGACCAGGATACTTTATATGTTAAGCTTTTACTTAAAAAGAAAACTGGAGTAGGAGCATTTCAGACTCAGACACAAGGGCATTGTTCTGTGTAATGTAAAATATGTCGATCACATTATCATTAACTCACACAGGGTTATCTTGATGACCTTTAGTTTTCAAAGCAAAAGCACAGAACCAATGCTCTTCAAAGCAGCACAGCTGTTGTCCATTCCTAATTTTCTTTTGCATGTGGCCAAGATAAATGCTAAGTCTAAAAACATGAGTCTCTTCTAACTTGCAAGATCAAAACTATTTGCATGCCCCTGTTACATTATGTGTCCTCCCGCAGTCTCATCCTTCAGTTATGTTTGTCTCTAAACTTCTGATAAACCAGTCTGCTCTCTTTTCAGCCGCCTCCCTGCTTTCTCTCTCCTTCTCCCCGTGTCACCCAGATGTTTAACCATTGAAGTGTTTCTTTATATAATATAGGGCTACATTCCAAAAAGCAAATGGGAGATGGACACGTCCGAGGCGAAACTTGGTAGGTATTCTTCTTTTGTTAGTCTGTTAGTCTTGTCAGTCTTTGTTTTATGACTGAATTCCCAGTATTTCACCTTTTTCGAGAGGCTTAAGAAATGATTGGTTTGATTTGTGATGTTTATGATGTTGTGTAGCTGTGTGTCTGTGCACGCAGAAGGACAACGACCTAAGCTATTCATGTTGTGTTGACAAAGGCTTCACATTTAGCACAATTACTTGTCTGCATCTTAAGATGTCTAAATATTTGGTTGAATGTCCCGAGAGAATGTAAAGATAAGGTTCTTCTACCAAAGGCCAAAAAGTGCAAAGTGGGCCTTCTTAGCTTTTTAACTATTTGTCAACTACATACTCATGTAAACTATACTCTCTAAATAATTTCTACAAATCCAAAGCCAGGCACATTAGGGGGAAAGTAAATAAGAACCCCTCAGAGTAGTTTTAATTGTGTGAATGTGAAGCAGGATAACAGATAATGCTGATCTACTAGCTGTCTTTGCATAGACAAATAAATGTCAGGATGATACATTTTAAGTTCTTATGTGGAGGGGGAACTGACCAGTTCAGTGATCTTTATACAGACAGGTTGGATGGTCTGGGGAGCGGTGGGAAAAGGAAACGTGAAGACATGTCCGGCCTGGAGGACTACCTTCAGCTGCCAGACGATTATGCTACGCGCATGTCACAACCAGGAAAGAAAAGGGTAAATTGCCACAGAGCAGCTGCTTTGTAGATTCGCCAATGACGTTAACTATTAATGGAAAACAATTACAGGTCGTCCAGGGTGGCTTTCAGTGCGGAAAAATACAATTTTTTATAAAATTAATGTAAAATAATATAAATTATTATCTCAAATGATCCACTTCCTGGTCATAACACCGTGGTTGTCTTGTCAAGGTTCGCTGGGCTGATCTCGAAGAGAAGAAGGAAGCAGATCGAAAGCGCGCTATCGGCTTTGTGGTGGGTCAAACGGACTGGGAAAGAATAACGGACGAGAGCGGCCAGATGGCACAAAGAGCTCTTAACCGTACCAAGTATTTCTAAGAAGATAATCTTTTCCCCCTTCATTGAAAGGTATGTGTCACTCTTTTTTATATTGTTGTTAGTGTTGGGGAATAATTTGCCCTGCATGTCCTCCTTCGCCCTCTGACGCAGCTGACCAACCTTGAGCAGCCGTTATCTCCTATAAGGAGGGGCTGCCCTAGCATTTTGTTGATGTTGCCAGTTTATGACCGGGCAACTCTCGGTCAGAGATAGTTATTGTTGTGGGACACCTGGAACACATCCTTCTCGGGGTGTAGATGACCCCGAGCCATAAGCGACAACAACTGTGATTCAGTGTCCTCAGCTGTTTAGTCTATCTATTGAAGAATGTTGATTATTACACTCTGAACTAGTTAAAACCTCGAGCTACAGGAGGGTTCTTCAGATTTGATTGTGGCATCTCAACCGTGTGGTCAACTCGTGGCCCGTGATATGTCTTGTGAATTCTCCGGCCGAAGCTCCAAATAAATGTTTGTATTGGATTTATGTAATTTAATGGCGACATGTTTTGCCTTTTCTTATTACATACCTTCAATTTGAAATGGAATTTACAAATCAAATGTTTTTTAAATGCGATTTCATTTTTGATCAAGAAGCCAATTCTTCAAAAAGGCTTGTCTTCAAATGCTATGAATAACTGAAAAAACCCTCAATAGGTTTGATTGCGGGCATATATTTTCACTTGTAAAGCACCTGTACTGCCTTCTGTAATGATACAAATACAGTTGTTACTTAATTCTGCATAAAGGGATTGTTCATCAGTATTTCCGAATTTATAAAAGTTACATTTTATGGCAGGGAATTATCAAAGTTTTCACATGTAAAAGTTTAACATGATCAATAATAAGTTTGTCTTTAACCAAGTAATCAATCATTTCTTTTTCTTTCTGAAGGTTTCAAGAATGTGAAAATACTGAAGCTCGCTTGTAGTGGAACAAGAGACTCATCCAGGTGGCAAGATCACCGATTGTTATCAAATTATTAGTTATTTGATCGATAAGGATAAGTCTTTTTCCATTATTTTTAAAGAGACACTGCTTATTTGCTGTTCAATTTGTAGTTTGTAACTGTGCATCTTCTGGTCATGGTCTGTATTCAGTTATGTTACTGTTTTATACTCTTCATGCTTTCTGTACTGTAGCCGTGTTTTTTGGTCCATTTAATTCTTGAAAAAACACAATAAACTTTCACAAAATTACCAACCTGGAGAGTCTTTCTTGCGTAAGGGCCCGATGAACAACAGGCCGAATGTCCTGGAGATTCATCATTGGGGCGGAAGAAGTATTATTTGCATCACTCCGACTTCACCTCTTTCCCTCCTGTGACATTTTAAAGTGGCAATGTGTAAGATATGGCCAGATTTTATTTATTTAGAACTTAACCAAACACATGACACTTTTGATATTATGTCAAAATCTTCGTGTGTTGTGTTGCAGATATATATACTGAAGTGAGCATGCTAACCAGCTCGTCTCCGACAGTCTTTTACCGTAACACCTCTTGTACTTCAGAAGGCGTGAGTCGATGTAGCGTCTGTCTGCCCTCAGTCCAACGTTAGATGATGAAGAACCAAGAGTCCAGAAGGACTCGTCAATTACATTAAAGGTAAAGGATCCATGTGACTTTTTAATAGTTCGCTAATTGGATTAAATTGAAAGTAGCCCAAAATGGCACATTTCGTACCATCGGGTCAATATTGCGTATCCTTGACCTGTTGTTAGTTTGCTTTTTCATTAAGTTTTAATAACTGATGACTACATTTAGATTATATGAACCAAGTATTCGAGATGAATTGCTGCCCCTATTTTTTTGTTTTTTGTATGTGGCCAGATATTACACATTGACCCTGTTTTTTTTTTTTAAAGAAGTACTGTTATTATGTTTCTCAGTGTGCATGGTTAAGTGAGGAGAACAAAGGAAAGAGTAAAGGGCTACATTCATAATGCAAAGCTGAACAGTTTTACGCCTTTGTGGGTTGCCTCTCAGTCCCTTAATGGTACTGTGTGTATTTTGTAAATCAATACAGTTCTATGTACTTGTATTGTCTAGGCTAGAATTAGCCTAACTTGAACTTCACTTCAGCTTCAACGGCGAGTATCACAAAATAAAGTGTAATGAAAATGCACAATTGCGGGATTGAAAAGGGTGTTTTCTAACCTGTGACCATAACAGTAAATGATATTGGAGAACCCCAATGTTGTCAACAACTCTCAATTTCCAAAGAACCACAATTTGTCCTGATAAACTACGGGAAGTTGGGAATACTGGGAATATTGTGGATCAAGTGTTTAAACCCTGGTTACTTCAATGACAAGTCGAGCCCACAGTGACTTTTCATGACTAGAATAGTATTTTATTTGTTTGTCTTAATTCTATTTTTTTAGACTTTAAACCCCATTTTTACATCGAGAGTAAAGATACAAAAATGTTACCTGTACCACATTCAGCTGATTATTAATGATAGCTAATGGTTGCACAACCCATACAAACATTGTGACATCATAAAGTGGCCAAAATCTGACAAAAAGAGAGAGAATATTTATTCCTGAAACTTTCCAAATCTCTTTCATAGAGGGGACACTTAATCTTTGCATAATAGGTGACCTTTAAAGGAAAATATTTGAAAGACGTTATTTCGAATGCCTATGTTCAAACTGCTTGTTCGTATTTAGTGCCCAATTTCAGTCTCACTGAGTGTGATTGTCATGGTTAATATGTAAGCAATTGAATTCCGCTTTGAATATACTTTTTATATTTACAAACGTTACACTTGTGAAGCAAATGGCCAACAATTTTACCTGCTGAGAATTTTGTATTTGCACTGAAGACAAAAAATGGATCATCGAATATGACCGAACACACGGCACCGCTGGTGAAGACCATGTTTGATTTTCCTGCGGACATCCAGCCTCAGTGTATCATCTGCAAAGTGGATGGGTCTTCATAGTGAGTATGGAAGAAAGACCGAAACACTGTTATTTTGAAAATTACCAATTTTAAAATGTTTGGAATGTAATCTCATTAATATATTCTGTACATACAAATATTTTGACAATAAAGCTCTGCTGTATAATAAATGTGTTTTTTCACTTGTGTTGTGTGGACCTTTTTTTGTCCTTATTAAAGAACAATGCCTCTAAAAATGTGTTCTGTTGCACACATTTCACAGATAAAATTGTTATGTGTTATTGCTATACAATAAGGTTGATATAGCAAAATACTAATAATATCAAATGACCTCATGAAAAAAACAGCCATAGAAGCCTAAATCAGTCTGCTATATGGGTGGAGACTGGATATGTGCAAGCATGTACATAACTCACTTGTACAATACAGCAGGTTCTTTATTAAAAACTAGTACTTTGCTAATCAAGGCGAGTAAGTCCACATGGTGACAGTAGCCACTGCAGCACATGATGTCTTCTGATTGGTTGTCATGCAGAGTGATGACTTTTGAATTGAGCTGGTACGTCACTGTCCAGTTTACAGATCACCTTGTAGATCGCTTTCTTCCACGAGGGATCACGATCTTTGCCCATTGAAATGGAAATGTAAAATTCTCTTAATGTAATCTCTGCAACCTCCAGGAAACTGTCAGGGACCTGTGGTGTCACAGTAGAAGATTGAAAATGTCAAAAACTTTTGCACACATACTGTTTATATTTTACAGAATCGTTATGATGCCTGGAAAACCATAAGGTAAGTAACCAGTCTGAACACAACAAAGCAAGTACGGTTATTTATAACAATATTCAAACAGTTCAAATGATCAATAAACGTTCTCAACCACAGTAACCAAAGAATGGATTCAGTTGATCATATTATTTTATGACGAATGCTAATTCTGAAAATATGAAATTGCCAATCAAGTCAAAAGCATGACGTTTTTCAATTAAATAATTGTCTGTTGTCAAATGTTTAGCAAAACGAGGTAACACACTGGATCTTGAGGCTATGGCCCAATGATGAGCCTTTGCAGTACTACGGGCTTGGTGTATGCATCTAACCCTAACACCAGTGGCCTTTTGTTATAGTTTGATCCAAAACACATGCAATTATCACTCATTGTCATAGTTGCCGCTAAGGAGAGCAACATGGAAATATTCAAGATTGTAACGTAAAAAAACAAACAAATACTTTGGTGTACAGGTTATTTTCAGCTTTTTCCTCACCACCATTTGATCAAAAGGCCTACTTGTACATACATCAGAGCTTAGAGTAAATCTACCATGACATCTTGTGAGCACATTTGTGCTCCCCAGAGGATGGACCCTTTTATGTTTTGAAAATCCATTGTGCACACAGACTGTTTGGCCATGCCCTTAACACTTAACCTTCAACTCAAAATGAGGCCTGAGAAAGGGTTGCCTCTATGGTCATGAGATGTCAGTATTTACTGTTTGTGTGTGCATGTTGATGCTTTTGCAGTACAGTGCCAGTGTGTGATTCATTAAAAAACCAGTTGAGGTCCAACTCTAAAAAGAGCATTTACTCTTTAAATTGTGCTAAGTCAAGCTGATAAATAAAAAAAGACAGTCTGCTTTCATTCCGTCTAACATGCACATTTGATTTCAGCATCACTGCTGGGTGTCCATGTGTGTAATCTGTCTGACCTGAGACCAAACAGTCAAACAATACAAAGGATATCAAATAATTTTGATTATAATGCTGAACATAAATTGGGAGATAAACTGAAGAACATTAACATCTTAATTGTGTTTCATGAGAAGACTCAAGGAGGGAAGGTTGAGAGTCTGTCACTCAGAAAACAAACCTAGAAACTATAAGGTGGTCATGTTATGTTTAGGCATGTTGTTTTTCAATTGTTTTGTCCTTTGTAGTATTTTCTCTAATCTTTGACACTTCAAGATGAATGTTTTCACATTATTTCCATTACACTGGTCCCTTTTCACTAATTTTAAGTCATGTAAAAAATACTTGGAAATGTCAACGTCAATTTTATCCAACAAAAATCGTACTTATTAACATCTTAAATATTTACATTTAACTTATAAGATGTTCTGAGCGTTATGCATCTTTAACAGAGTACAGAGCAGGAGGCTGTTTGTCCTTCTTTTGTGGAGCTTGGTGATTTAAGTCACTTTAAAGAAAATGTAAAACATTAGAATAATAATAAATAATGTTAATTTATTAATGTATTTTTTTTTTTTTTTAAACGACATATCTGGCTCCAAAAACCTTATTTGAATCTGTAATTCATAGCCGTTTTAAAGTATATATTCCTAAATGTGCAGTAAGGTTTTTCCTTATAACACATTAATGCATGGGAAATTTCATATTTAATTCAACATCACAAATATTTTTATTTTATATAATAATGTGAATGGATTTATAATTCCTATACACCAACAAAGTAATATAATGACAAGTCAACATGTTGATAGCACATCAACCACAGTGTGAAATAACTCTTTCAGTGGTAAATGTTATACTGAACACAAATGGAACAAACTAAATGACTTAAAATCTCCAAAACAACAATGTGTTTATATTTAAAGTTAACAAAATAAAACAAGTTACACAAACTATTGACATGTACTTCACAGCATGCTACTCCAGGCAGCCATTATTATGTGTATTAATCAGCTGTGTTCATTATCATAGCATTCACTCTTGTGAAATAAATCTAAGTAATTTCCTATCACTCTATTTTATCTTTCTCACTGCTGCTGTAATATATTTGTATAATAGTTGTACTAGTTAGTAGAAATAATATTAAAGCTAAGTTGCTTTATGTTAAATATGTGACCGTCTGTGAACATTATTAACTGTGCTATAATAGAAATTAGGACAATATACTAAATATACTTGGAGTCCCACAATTCTTTAATTACAGCATGTGATCTTGAATATTAAATAACTATTTCTGCCTAGTGTTTACTTTATCATAAGTATAACTATCTATGTATTTGTTGTGTCTGTTAGTAGTTTTGCTGTTGTAATGTGATTACATTTGAATGTTGAGAGAGTGGCCTCGCTACCCAAAAAATCTATTTCTGTGGTTTATTCCTCATGTTGAAAATAATAATGCAGTAGCTCTGGCTAAAATAAAGTCACCTTCTTTCTATACTTTCAGTAAAAAGCAAGCATGAATGAAAATAATCAAATGTATTTTACATCATTAACTATTTACTAAGTGTGTATAATATAACATAAACAAATAAAAGAACACTTCTATTTAGTTAACCTTGAAGAGGAACTATAATTTATGCAAGTTTATAAATAAGGAGATGCATCGAGCAGACATAAGAAAATGATGCTTTGAAACAATACAACACACACACACACATCTAATAAAATTAAAACATGTGTTGGACTGTACAAAAATAAGACAATGACATGATCCCCCTGGAAGATCCCAAAGCAACACAAACACAAATAACTGAGTGACAAATCAATGAGGCAAATATGACCACTATGTAATGCTCTCAGGGCAGTAAGACATTCAGTGTAGCAGCAGTTTACCTGGAAGTCGTTGGCTTTGTTGTAGTGCATGTTGAGAGCTCTGAAAAGTTCTGATTGTCTCTCCACAGTCAGACCCCGCACGTCGGAGACTCCTTCGATGAGAGCGTGACGGGCGAACTTCTCCATCTGGATGTAGAAAAACTCCCTGAAGTTACTGAACCACTTGATGAGCTGAGAGGTGATGCAGCGCGAGAACTGAGGAAAAAACAGAGGGACGGGTGAGTGAAATGAAGTGGGTAATTTAATATATTATAAATAATTAGTTTCTATGTGAGAGAGAAGGTGATCATTATTATTTACTGTATTAAAAAATATAAAGCAAATAAAACATGAATAAACGTTAATAAAAGTATTTTACCACATGGTTACCATTTTTACAGTTTTTCAGATTTACAGAATTGCAATAGTGATGTTTTTATAATCCTGATCTGATTGCTTGATGTTATTGCTGTTGACAAATAAAAAACAAATAGTATTTTCTTGTCTGGGACTGATTATTTATTCTGTGGTGACAGAGATGCACTATTGAGGAATCAAACTGGTTTGGGATCATCAAAACAAGTCGCAGGTTCAAAAACCGACATTTTCAGACTGCTTAAATGTTACATTTTTTCTCAGAATCAGCAAAAAATATGTCCAGTTAAAAGCAAAACACAGTGACTTTCCCAAAATGTTTAAGAATCTGTATTCCTTACAGTAAAATTAAGTCATGTTTTGTAAAATGATCTATTAAAATCACACATGTGGAAGAATTGCACTTGTGATTAATATTTCTTACCTGCACATCATGGAAACACATCTTTAGCACCAGGGAACTCGGGTAGCGCGTGTAGAAGAACATGAGCTTTGCTTTCTTCAGATGATTTGTGGTCAGACCCTCCTGTATGCACCAGTGTTAAGGGTAAACACACACACCCTAAACATGACTGGACTGGATACATTGTCCCTCCATTAAATCGTTACAACTTGGGACAAATAGAAAGACAACTGGAAATGTTGTTTAAAATTTGAAAGATCAAAGAAATAACTTGTTGGATTCTAAAAGGTGAAAAGTAATTTAAGCAAGAAGAAAGAATACCGTCACAGAAAAGGTTGTGATTTGGAACTCAAATAAGCCAATGAAGAGATATTTCTGGTATGTAAAGACAGCTGATTAAGAAGTGTATACAAGGAGAGAGTACAACGTTCTCTCACTGCTGATTGAGTCTTAAACCCACAAGAAAACAGAATAAAATATCAAAAGTATGACTCCATTGTAAAGGATACATTCAGCATGTACAGGTTGGTCTTCACTAGGCAGTCGGACTCTATATTGACATGAGGGAGACCAGGGCTTTCCATCAGCGTGGGGTCCACAGACACAGTGTGAGTCTGTGGGCTTCTCACAGACCTGGAGTTGACCTTCGACCTCACTTTGATTGAATTCCGAAGGGTGTCAAACTTTGCCGGACCAACTCTGGAGCATGCATCCTGAGAGCACCTGAGGGCATGTTGACGGACGGCTTCGTGATTCCTCTCTGACGGCTGATCTTCAGAGTCATGATTCCCGAACAGGATTGGAGGTTGTGGACGATGGTGAAGGACAAACTTGTTTTCCAGTCGAGGCTTTTGTACGACCAAGGACAGAGCTTCGGTTTGAACATCTGGGACTTGCACCTCTGCATTTCCACAACAGGTTAGTCCCAATTCATCTTCACCAACTGATGATTGAAGACGTATATCTGTCTCTGCATTCCCCTCAATGTTTGTTTGTATAAGTGGCATGCTTTTGAAAATAGAGTCAACGCTCCTACTGACAGCTCTGGACAGCTCGTACTTTAAAACCTCTGCCATCAGCTTTATTCTCTCGGGTTGGGATTGGAAGTAGCTCATCACCGACTTCCGTCCTTGATATTCTCTACTTGAGCTGGTCTGAAACTCACTGTATGAATCTGTGAATGCGTCCCTTGGAGATGTTTCAGGAGATTCGTCCTTGTCTATAGTGTCGACTACTTCGTCCACATGGTCGAACCTTGCTCTGAGATGCTGATTCTCCAGCTGCTTTCCTGCTCTCTGGCTGCCAAATCCACTCGTTTCCACGTAGTCCTGCTCATGTATCGTTTCCTTTTCCTGCATGCCGTCTGACTTCACGCATTGGTTTCTGGTCACATTGGTGCAGTGCATACCTGGAGAGCTGATCATGCCTTTGATGATATTTTCTACTCTGGCACGCTTTGCCTGATGGCCACTGTTTAAGTTCCACTCATCATGACCACAGGAACTGGATGCAGGAATTGGGTGCCTTCTTATGGGTGAATGTCCAGTCGTGTTGTCTTTGGATGGATTCATCAAACTTGAACCAGCATCCCCACTTCTGTAATAGGCACTCTCCGATAGCATTTTTCTGTCTTCGCTGTCTTTGTGTAATGACACGGAAACGGCTGACACATCTACATTTGATAGCACAGGGTCCAGTTGAAAAGAGGAGAGATGCTCTGCATGAAAGCCGTCAAGGCAAATGCTGCTAGAAGAATACATACCTTCTCTCCAAACACTTGGATTCATGCCTTCAAAAGACAGCACTGTGAAGGAAAAACATAATTAATTACTGATGCAGGTGTGGTGAGAAATTCCTAATAAAATGTCATTCAAGTGAACTGAAATACTTTTCAACTTTAAGACGTAACACAACAATAATGGATCTTGTAAAAATAAAATCTTTTTTTTTTTTTAAATAAGAATTTGCTATATTGGCTACTTCTTGGCACATTTTAATTTAACTTAATTTATTTCAGACTTGATTCAAAAATGTAAAAAGTATATTACATTCTAGTTTTATATGACAGTAAAGAAATAGTAAAAACTCAAATGTGAACATTAGAAAAATAAAGAGCACATACACAGTATTATGAAACCCACCTGTTGCCTGTAGAAAAAGACCCCAGAAGGCTGCAGGTCTGGAGCTTTCTGTTGCTGGAGTGACTATTTGTAGCGGTCCAGCTGAAAGACCCTCCAAAAAACAGGAGGTGTGGCCAAATATGCCACCCTATCCCATCCCTACCTGCACATAATTAGATTGATGTGAACTGAAGACAACCCACTGTATATATTTCCTTATCCTTTTTCTGTTGTTGTGCAGGTATTGGTACATTAATGTTTTACCATCTAAAAAATACTTTTATTTTGTCCTTTTTATGATGTTTGTCAGATTGTAGTTGTTATTCAGTATAGTGTTTTGCAGGATCTTCAGCTACACTGCTTCTGCAAAATGTTTTACCATACTACTTTTTTTTTTATAGCATCTTCCTAACAGTTTTCAGACATCAAACATTGACAACACTTTATATATTTGATTTGTGTATTGAGTAGCCCTAATTCCACAAACCCTTTTCGGTTTACAGCTATCAATATTTTGGACTGTCTAAATTCTACAGAGCACCAGCTTTGGTAATAGCAATCATATTAAGGTATGTAACAATGCATGATAAAAACGGATAAAACATAAAACAACTGTAATTGCTATTTGAGTCGCGGAATCTGACGGGCCACAGGCTTTGGTTTAACCATAGGCTGTACATATAAAGGATTTAACCTATGGGTTTAACACACCCCTCCCCTTCTAACCGCAATGGTTCATCCCACTCGGAGCTTCCGCACCGCTTCTTCAACTGCTGTCAGATAACAAGGAACACAGCTGCAAGCTAGCGCTATGTTATCACGATCCAGATGTGCTTACAGGACGCTTGGTCGCTCCCTGTCAGCGGTCAGCCAGGTATGTTGGAAAGAAACACTGAACGGATTCTGTGGAATAACTCTGGAACGATAAAAACTTGAATAAAACAAGACACACCTAGCTGTTAGCTACCGTTAGCATTCAACAGACGTTAGCTTATGAAGAGGCCTCACCTACCAAGGGCAGACACACACTGACAGCTTTAGAGGAGGCTAGGGAAGTTACGTTTGAAGAGAACAGTATCTATATCTGACTATTAAAACAATATATGTATTTCATGTCGCTGTCAACTATATTATTTTTGTTTCAATACCTGGTTTACTACTCTTAGCCCTCTTGACAGGCTAATGTTAGCATGTTGTGGTGTCCTGTGTTTGTAAGACTGAGGTGTGTGTCTCAGCTGACCTGACAGAAATAGCCCATGTCAAGTTAGACATATATGTGCTGCTTGGCTCTGCCCTCACAAGCTACAGCTGTCTTTTCATTGCTTTGAGCAGGTATTGAACTGAAACATGATCACTAGGAGAACAGCTTGTGTGTCTTGTCGGGGTTAAGAAGTGTAGTTCTCAATATTTCAAGGAGACTTGTGCTAGTGTTTACAGTGGACTAAGGCCGAGTGTTTGTTTTAAAATGACAAGATAGAGGTGTTTGTGAGTTTTATTGTCTCATACTGAGGTGTTGCTATACATTTGTCCACCCAATTTATATCAGCTAACTTTCACACACACTTACAGTAAAGAATATGAACATAATAACCTTCATGGAGGCAGGATTTATTGCAGGGTATTCATTTAATGAGGTGTACCAAATAAAAAAAGTCAAGGTTAAGGTTGCAACTAATTATTTTTTCATTATCGTTCAGTTTTGGTTTAGAATATTACATCAATGAATGTCCTGCAGGACCTCAGGACCTTGTCTTTCAATTGATAGATCAGATCTTGAATCGAAAATAGTTTTTGCTCTTGATATACTGGGAAATATTTATTTAAAGTTCTATTTATTGCAGGGTGGTTCTGTTATACTGCCTTAATTAACTTTGCAAATGTGCGTCTGTAATAACGCACATTGTTTTGTTTTAAATCTATCATTTTTTTAAATAATCCTAAAGTTTTGGAGGAGAAAAACTCAAGTAGAAGAGATTGACAATATGAATGATTTAACCTATATGTTTGTTGTGTATCGGCCAGTGTAATGTTGTACACTAGGCGTTTTGATGGTTACATTTTCAGCGCCAGTTGTTCTAGTGAGTCAGAGAAGGGAAAACTCTAAAAACTATCTGCATGCCGGCACAAGCTTTGACCTAGTGTAAATATGACATTTCTGACAACTCCACCCAGCTCCGGCATCCTACTAATGTAGGATGCCGGATAGACATCAGGATAGACATCAGGATAGACATCAGGATAGACATCAGTGAAGAAGCCAGAACTAGGCAGGCTTCTTCACGAGAGGCTCTGCCCTCAAAAAACCCACAAACATGAATCATACAGTAAGCAATGTGGCGCAGTCAACATCTCAGCCACCATTGAAAAGTCCAGATGTTTAACTCAAAGATCAAGCTCTTTGGAGTTTACCAGCAAATGTATTATGTAAACGTACAGTTTACATAAGCTCGTTGCTGCAGCAGTTTAAGTAGGCTCAATAACTCTTTAACCTCTGTGCAAGATTTATGGGGAAAGTCATCTATTGTTTTTAAAGCTTACTTTAAGCTAAATACAGGTTCAGAATGGGGAGGGCCACTAATCATAATCACACTAATGGGATTTAAAAGCTGCAGGTATAATATAATGCATATGAAACAGATTTTTACTGTTTTCCTTTTCTTTCTTTTTTAGGCCAATAATGTGCTGCTCCGACAAAGTGTATCAGGTAAGTGTGCCTCTGAGAGTATACTAGACCTTTAAGAACCTTATCAGTAACCACACTCCAAATTGTATTGCTCATGAATAAACAAACTCTGAGTGGATTACCCAAAGCAGAGTAAGTGATGCTTGTTGAGTGAGTAAGATGCCTTAGAAACCCACAAGTGGTTCATTAGAGCGCTCAGAGAACTCACATCTGTGTTGGAGCCTCAGGAGAAGCACTGGTTGATTTACTTTCTCTTTTCTTTTTCCCTCTGAAGGCCTACCTGTCTGCAGCCAGGTAGCTTACAGGAATTCGCAGCCGTAAGTGCGCTCTCCCATTCTGTTGTCTGTCTTTGAATGCCTCTCCGTAACCACTACTGCATGTTTCAAAACTCTTCAGCATTGTCAGTGTTAGATCTGTCTATTTAGTAATGCATAACAGTATATTAAAAGGGATTTTAAATGTAGATTAATTAGGAAGGCTGTGTGTTGATCAGTATTCTGTGTGTGTCTGTTTTAACACAATCATTTAGTTTGTCCAGAATTAAAAAGTAACCGTTATTTTCTCAACATTTAGATGTGCATTTCCATCATCAGGGAATGTCTTCCACATCAGATACTTCAGGACATCTGCTGTCCACAGTACGTGTTGCAACAACATCATGTAATGAAGACAACCATGCTCGGTGTTTCATTTATAGCAACTGCTGTTTTGTTTCTGTACAGGGGATGAGGTGGTCACAGTCAACACTCCTGCATTTGCAGAATCTGTTACAGAGGGGGACGTGAGGTGGGAGAAAGGTTAGTATTCGTCAACATATCTTTGATAAAGTGTCAGAATTTCACAGGTCTAAGTGTCCCAAGTAGCCATATATTTGAACATGAAATACATAATCTTTTATTGTTTGTGTTTTAGCTGTGGGCGACTCGGTGTCAGAAGATGAAGTGGTGTGCGAAATTGAGACAGACAAGGTATGAACAAGAAAGACTGTTAATTCCTTGCTATGACCTTAATGAATGTTTCCTTCAGAGTATGACAAATATTTACAAAAAATGTCTTTCACACTTCCAGACCTCAGTACAAGTCCCCGCTCCAGCATCTGGTGTCATCGAGGAGCTGCTGGTGCCTGATGGAGAGAAAGTAGAAGCAGGGATGCCGCTCTTCAAACTCCGGAAAGGAGGTACGCGTAGTTATCATCACTAAACAAACCTGTAAAACACACTTTTAATATGCTCGAGTTTCAGTAATGAAACACTACGTTTTTGATACTTTACTGTGCAATTTAAACTTCACACTAATGCTTTATTCTCCCTTAATAATACACAGTTTACAATTATCGCAATCAGTTAACGTTTTGAAACATCTAGCCATTTTTCTATTCTTGGTACTATGTATTACTTCCAGCTGAGCAGACCTCTATATTTCCCACTGTGCTGTACATTACATTACAGGTGTTGCTGTGAATCTGCTGAATGTATTGAATTATGACGCATATTGAGCCAAAGTGTGTACTAAGATAAGATAAGATGGACCTTTATTAATCCCCGTGAGGGATTCAGTAGTTCAAACAGCAACAGGGTAAGGATGAAAAACACGACAGCACAGATTCTCACAGATTAATAAAATCAAAGATAAAAATAAAAATGATGAAAAACTATGAAATAAGAAATGAATTAAAAAGAAAAAACGAGCATGATACTACGTCATCATGAGGCCCATACTACATTTGTCCTTATTTACTTCTGTCTCCCCAGTCGTTGCTGCCAAAGCTGCCCCCGCCCCGGCTGCAGAGGCCCCAGCTGCAGCCCCTCCCCCCCCACCACCTCCAGCCCTCACTGCCATGCCTCCAGTGCCACTGCAGGCTGCCCAAGCCAAACCTAGTGAGTTTCCTTCTGTAGCATCTAAATCCACGCCACTAGCAAACTGTTAACATATCATTCTGTCTTTCCTTCTTTATCAAGTTTCTGCCATCAAGCCCACAGTTGCA